AAGACGAATGATCAATTCAAGTCTAACAACTGTAAGATTTTGTACTATAAATGCAAAGCAAGAGCAATAAAAATGCCCCAAAACCACCACTGCTATAAAAACAAAATCAGAAACACAGCAGACGTCATCAGACTGGTTTCATCTCTCTCTTTCTCTCTCTCTCTCTCTGCTGACACTGTCGCTGTCCTGAGATCTTCGTCAATCCTGTCCTATATTTAGCTGTAATCCCTGACAACAGATCTGACCACAGGCCTGTCTTTTTTCTACTCTGTCGTCTGCAGCTTTGGCTTCCTGGCGCGGTCGGGCAGCGGTCGGAGTCCTACCCACATGAGCAGCTCCGCCTCCAGTTGGGAGATCATCGGAGACTCGGAGGCCACTGATGAGACGGATCAGCGAGTGTCCTCCTGAGCCCCGTACAATCCACAGAGATTGTCTCCATTTGATCTGAAACTGATACCGACTTCTTCCTCAGTCTGGTGGTGGCTGGGGAAAAAGATTACGAGGACATTTGAATGCAGCCCCAGTGTGTATAACACAAAAGCACTATGTGAGTGTGAGGAAAGTGTGAACATGTTTAAACAAACTCAACTTTCTTTTTTTGTTTTATTTCCTTTCCCCTTTTTTTAATTTCACACTTTCCCAAAGTCCCCTTATTTTTCCATAGTACATATAGTATACTAGTACTACAGTACATATGGTACAGTGTACCACAGTATTAAGAGGGATACGCACCACAAAAAAGATACTTCCTTTTGTATGATTCAAGTGTTAATACAACAATCATGTTATTCTTCATCGTAAGGAAAGTTAGTAAGTTTTATATATAACTATTAATATAATCTCAAACCTTTTTTAACAAAAACCAAAGACATTACAAAGATTTATTTTCTCTGTCCTCAAGTCATATGTAAAACAGTACATTTAGTTCACCTCAGTTCCACTAGGGGGCGTTGGTTCATTTTATAACTGATAATCAAAGATTTTACCCCAAATTTATGAAACTTTTACCTCAGCAGGGGAGTTTTTAAGCCATGTGTTTTCTCATGTGTACTTCATCATCTGAAGCACTTTTATGGTGAAGGACAAAAACAAAATCATACAGTCATATTACCAGTCTCTTCCAGTAGTGAGTGCATTTTAACCCCTTAAGCCTTAACTTACAGCTTGTACTGGTAAAAAAAAAGTTATTTTCTTAAATTGCAGTCATTGCACAGAGCCAAAGCCTTTGGCTGGTGTTTATTTGATGGTGGTGCCATAAACGTGCATGAGTATATGTTTGTGTAAGCATACGTGTTCTGTTCAGATTGGTTAATTTACTTTAAAAGGAAGATTTGAGCTTCCTTGTGGAAATGAGAATTGCATGTTATTTTTTTTTGTGCCGAACACCATTAGCTGACGAGTTACGATAAAGTCTGTCTGACCCCTCTGTTCCCTCTAAATGTCTGAACACAGCACTGCGCAGACAATGACAGACCAGTGGAGTTGGATTTGTGTATTTGCCGAGACACAACGTATAACCTTCCAATCAGATCATGTTCTCCTGAAATACTGTGCTCACAATTTATTTTTGTAAGTGTGTTTTTGATGGAAAGTTTTTGCTGCGTAAAACAGATTTAAAGATGTCAAATGCCATGTGAGTGAATTTTATTGATGAAATGTGATAAAAAAACAATATAAAATGTGATTTTCTGTGACATTGAGATTTCAAGATTCAATAAAATCCATTAAACACAGAATTCTAATGCATTTTTCCCATGACTCAAGAAAAAAAACACACAATAGTAGATTGAAAGAGCTCATAGTGACCACGTCATCATCTTGTAATCACTTTCAAGACTTATAAGGAGGAAGAAGGCGTTCTTCATCACGTCCTGGAAGACTATCAACAATAAGATTCTGGGAAAAAGGTGAACATCAGGGGTGTGTGTTCGTGCCTGAGCAGTGTGTGCGGCGGGTTTTGTGTATTAGTGTTCAACCATCTTTAAAAAGCTCTGTGTCTGGCTGAATAGAAGGAAGTGGCTCTGACTTCCCCAGGAAATGGGAAGAGGAAACCCAGGGGCTTCGACCTCTCTGGCTGCGCTGGAGCCACAAGACGAAGAGAGGGAGAGACGGGGAAGGAGGGAAGGGTGGAGGGTAGACAGAGAAGAGATACTGCCTCTCATTGTGCTCCCTCTGGCTGGAAGGAGAACAAGTTGAGAGGACACGAAAGAAGTCGGAGATATTTTGGTCCCTGGTTTTGGTTTTTGGATTTAGTGAGGATATGAAGCTTCTCCTCCGAGCTCTGAGTGCTCTGCTCTGCTGCTCGTTGGCCTCCTCTCACACTCTGGATCCCGCTGGGAAGAACGTCTGCCACAATATCAGGTACACTTCAACTCTACCTTCACTCACACCTGTTGTCCTTTGACTGTTTTATTGACATGTGATAGTAGCAGGAGACAGGCAGTAATAGAAGCTTGTGACCAAAATATTCTGATGTGTGGGGAAAAGAATCAAGATAGTACTTCCTGTGACAAATTTGAATGATGTCCACCTTCTCAAAGAGTGTAGGACTTTTGGACAGGTCTTTGGTCTGAATACGAGCATATAGTTTTTCCTGGTTAGATACCACAGATGGTTTTATTTCATACGCTTTAGATGTGTCATGCTGATTAGATTACTCTGTGTATCTTCAGGGACCCTTCCACCCCGGTCTGTTGCACTGGATGGCGTCAAGAGGGAAAAGAGTGCACTATACGTGAGTTTAATGGACAGCAATCTACAGGAATGACGCTTTTACCGCTTCCATATTTGATTTGGTTTCCTGCTTTCTCGTTCACTGGTGTGCTTTTTATGTCTCTGTGTGCAGCTGTGTGTGAGGGTGAGCAGGCCTGCCTGAAGGATGAGATCTGTATGTTTCCTGGAGTGTGTCGCTGCCCAGCTGGCTACTACGGAGCTCACTGTAAAACACGTGAGTTACAATAAACAGGAGCTGTTTAGCATCAGTTGATTGATGTGTCTGTGCACAATCTGCACTAAATATTTCAGTTTTATTGTGTAAAAAGAACCATTTAGGGTCATTAATATAATACTAATATTGCACTTTGGCAAAAGGAATTGTAAACCTGTAAATGTTTCTTCTGAATTTCATGTGACTTTCTGTACAATGTGGCTCATTCATTCAGATATCTTGAGGTCAGAGGTCAAGGGATCCCTTTGAAAATGGCCATGCCAGTTTTTCCTTCGCCAAAATTTTGCATAACTTGGTTGGTTAAAGCTGATGAATCTTACATAGATGTAATTTTGCTACTGCTTTGTTTTGTTTTTGTTTACATTGTAGGCTACTTAGTTAATTGTTTTCATCTGTAGACTCATTTCGCTATACACTATTCACTATTCAGCTTTCTGTTCACCTGTTTTATTAATACTGTGTTATTTCAAATTGTTGATTGTTTTTAGGAAGATTAGCGACCACTTTGTGGAAACTAATGAGGAACCAATATAAGAATAAAGGATGTTGCTAATGCCTCCATTGGTTGGTACCAACCAGCATTAGGATGCGTTAGGTCATCTAGTTTGAATTGATACCAGTATCTTCACTCTAGCTTTAAAACCAACCCTGATATAGCCTCTGAAAGACACTGCAGAGTGGAAGAGGTCAGGATAATGGGGTGGCACCTGGGGTAAAGTAACCAGTAACTATAGTTGAGTCCAACTCACACTTGAAATGTTTATTGCAGCAGTACAACAAAGCAAATCCAGCCCCAGTGTGTATAACACAAAAGCACTATGTGAGTGTGAGAAAAATGTGATGTTCACAACTCAACTTTCTTTTTTGTTTTGTTTCTTTGCTTTAATTTCCCCCTTTTTTATTTCACACTTTCCCCAAGTCCCCTTATTTTTCCATAGTACATATAGTGTACCACAGTATTAAGAAGGATACGCACCACAAAGGATGCGTTAGGTCATCTCGTTTGATTTGATCCCGAACTCATCACTCCCCCGCAGGTATGTTTACACAGAGATATTGGGGAGTGATGAGCAGATACCTTAAACCCTCTAGCCCGAGCCTACAGGTGGATGCTGGGGTGGTGGTGGGGCTTTACAGAATGACAGGCAGCAATACTGATGCAGGGCAGAGCAGAGGGAGAGCTGGGAAATTTGACAGCTTAAATAGACGGATTGGAAGAGTGTGTTTGATTTGTGATTATGGAGAGTGAGGCATGTCACGTGTGTGTATAGCAGTGCAGCTCGTTCATTACATCATTCTCCACTTTATGACATTTGTCATTTTACTCCAAACTACATTACACACAATGAATCAGTTGTACTATGTACACGCCATAGTATTTGTTGAAAATGACCTGACTGTCTCATTACATTCATCGATCACTCCTGTCACTCGACTACAACCCACGACGTACATTCCACATCTCCATTTAATCACAGAATCAGAACACCACTTTCCAATCGCTTCTATTTAACTTCAATGATGTGGTTCCCATGCTCTCCCTCTCTCTTGCCCTCATCGATGTATTTGCTGCCTTTATTCTGGTAAATCCCCACCACCACGCCCAACGCACCTATACTCATGCTAATTTTAAGTATTTGTCAATGCCTTCCCCACATAATATCTCTTTGTAAACATACCTCTATATTATATTCATTCAAATCAAACTTAGAATTGAGTTCCAACCATCCTTTTGTCCGAATATCCTTACTTTAAGATACTGTTAACACTAAATATAGTACTATAGGAACAAATAAAACTTGAAAGTGTAAATAAAAAAATTAAATGTTAAATGCAAATAAAACAAACAAAAAGAACGTGTGTATTTTTGAATCATTCACATATTTTCGACACGTCACACTATTGCTGATTTGTTCTGATCACCACTTATTGTATATTCTTTTTTTACTCTAATAAACATGTTCAAATTGATATCTCAACACTATGATTACTGTCATTACTATTAACCCCAGTCTACCACCCCATCGCTAATCCAACTCTTCCACTCTGGGCATGTCTAATTCATGATCTATATTCATTTTTTGTTAAACTAGTTTTGATATACTAGTCTGCAATTCCAAATAATACTAACTTCATCTAATGCTTTTACCAACATGAGCCAAATTATGCAACACTTTATTTATCGCTATATTGGTTCGCTCATTATGTTTCCACAAAGTTTTCTCTAATCTATCCTAAAAACAATGGTCAACAATTTTGGAAATAAACACATATTAATCAATATAAACATGAATGAGACATGACATCTTAATTCAGGTGAATATGATTATGTAAAGATTATTCTACATATTAACAACAACATTAACCTAATTAGTCCATCCTACAATTGTAAACAAAACCCAAACAAATCGTTAGCAAATCTTACATACGGGTATTTAAGAATTCAATTCATCTGTTAACCCAAACCAAATTACAAAAATATTTTGCTAAGTAAAAACTGCATATGCCATTGTTCAATAACCATATTACCTGCTACTCCAAATGATCTTAATTGTAATGAGCCCACAGTTGTTTACATAAATTCGACATTTTAAAATTCAAAGGAAACACTGACATTTTTACAATTGCCTTGTTTTCCAAATTCAAAATTTATATTATATTAATACCCATGAATATTAGCTTCTTTTTTACACAAATAAAACTTGAAAATATTTAGTCGAGATTGTGTCATCATGTACAACATCAATCAACTGATGTCTAAACAGTCTCCTTTTATTGGTAACTCACGTTTTCTACATGATCATCCTTTACCATACTTGCAGCACACATCCATTAAAATACATATCCTGCATCTTCATCATTATCCAGTCTCACCCTCCACCACATGCTCCACACAGAAGTACTGAAAAACACACAATTTATACTGTATAAATCAAACACCAAAATCAAAGATATAAATCATTAAAATTTCATCCTTTTAATTGTCTGTCCATTAAATGCAACCTTATATTACACTCTCTTTCGCCTCGTTGCGAGATTGCGGCAAGATATACACGCTGTTGTGAATCTCCTCGAAAACCAAACATCCATAAAATCTTGAATCAATCAGATACAAACATAAATCGTAAATAAAAATAAAACACATGTTTAACTATTCTTAAACCATCGAAAAACACTAATATTACCTCTATATTCAAACCAAAAATACCCTGTTCCAAAAGTCAATACACTCTTTCTATAATGGTTTTAGCAATCATTCCAAAAAATCTATTATACAACATAATACTTTATCTTTCATTCTATTTCCACACACAAATCAGTTTAATATTTTGTTCACAATCAATATCTTTTATTATTTTAAACTGTCCCATTTCTCCTATCATTACCTATTCACCATTCAATAAATACAGTCAACTGAATATCCCAATTTTTACTTAATTATAATATGTACAATTAATTATGATACCTAATAAGTTTCTGTGCTATTATCTAATCATTCTTTTAGTAATATCATAATACTATACTGAAAAAATTAATATAATATCTTTTATTAAACTGATTACGGTTTGTATTGTGTGATTTTTTTTTGTGTGTTTGTAATACTAACTTAAACTGTGTTTTGAAGGGGTTACACAACATGGAGGACGGCAGAACAGGCAAATGCTGGAGAGGAGCAGGGGCACCTAAGAAAATGAAATGTAAGGCTGATCCAAAGGAAGCACAGTCGCCATAGAAAGATAAATGGTCAGAACCCGCGGCAGCTTACGTAAAGATATTCGTGACAGGAACGGAGGGAAAAGAAATGAGCCTACATGCCGGTACTACCTAACTTGAAATGATGATAAGCCCTGAGCCGGCGGCCGACGGCGTCGCAGAAAACCGTGAGATAAACTGGCGAGGCACGCGAAACGGGTAGATTTAACAAAGT